CGATGTGCTGAGAGATTTAGCTGAAAAACACAGTGAATGTTCTGAACTTGTGTAGGATGTTTGTGTCATCAGTGACTGTGTTGTCTGTTCAGGCTCTGAACGGGTTCGTCATGGTGGTCACGTCAGCTGGGTTAGTGTTCTACGCCTCCACCACAATCAAGGACTACCTGGGCTTCCACCAGGTGAGTCACTGCACACACACACACACACACACACACATTTTATGACTTTGGTGTTTGGATAAGCTGGTCTGAGTGTGAACTTGCACTTTAAAATGCAGAAGTTGCACAAACTCCTCCTACTTTAAATGTTGTGTTTGATTAAAGGAGCAGTGGTAGTAACGGTGGAGGAGTCTAGTAATTGAGGGTCCACCACCCAAAACAACAGAAGAGAGGTGAAGATTACAGGCACACTGAAGGGCAGCAGCAACAGTGAAAGGGATGATTTACAAGGTTTACAGGGACTGGGATGGACAGGAGGAGAGTTCAGGTCAAGGCTGAGATGCTTCAGGTGTGCAAAGCAGGAATAGTGGCTGCACCAAGCAGGGAATGCTGAATGTTGAGGACAGGGAGGTAGACGAGGCTGTGGCGACCCCTAAAGGAAGCAGCCGGAACTGCAGTGCTGAAGGAGGCCGAGCCAAGAGAACAGCATATTGAGTTCAAAGAAATGCTTCATATTAGAGTTCATCAGTTCATCAGTAATAATCATATGAAAATAATATTTTTGAATCTCTTTTGAGCATTTATAAATCCAAACATGTGACTTACAGTCCTACCCTGCACAGATGGTGACATCATTGTGTTTATGCCTCGTTCACATGTTTTATAAGCCAAATTTAAACTGACTGACTGATGCTGTGCTCCTCTGCCAACAGTCAGACGTGGTGCATCAGAGTGTGTTTGATCTCATCCACACCGATGATCGCAGCACGTTCAGAGAGCAGCTGCACTTTGCTCTGAACCCTCCTGCTGCAGCCGACGAGGACGGTGAGCGCTTTTCAAGCAAACGTGTACATGCATCAACATCTTTGCTCCAAACATCCTATCAGATAACCTTTTTACCTCTCCGTCGTAAAAGGCCAATCAGGCGTCACTGTTGTCGTCTCCCACGGCTGGTGTGGATGGTGTGGCACCCAAGTTAGTGAATGCAATAACTGAGGAACCAGGCAGCGTGCAAGTTTCAAACAGATACCACAGGTGTATCTGCTAGCACAATATCACTAAAATTAGAAACATCCAAGCTAATTCATGCATTTATTAC